TTCCTGCCTGGCACCACCTGGAGAGCCTAGTGCCATCTCTTCTCCCCTTCAGCTTCTCAGGCTGAGGATGGAAACAAACCTCAGTCAGTGCCTGTTTCACTTCCCTGGTGGGGAATGTGCTTCCAGGCAGGATCCTCTGAGCCCTGTGCTCGCCCAGCTGGGGCTGTGGGGTAAAACTTCCACGGAATTTAGTACCCTGGTGCCTCGGTGGGAACAGGCAGGCAGCCTGTTCTGCCAGTGTCTTCCAGGAAGGTATTTTCCAGGACTTTTAAGAGATGAAAACCAAGTGATGCCTTTTACGCACACGTTTTTCCCCAAACTCAGTATTTTCGAGTCCATTCGCTCCAAAGAAGATGGAAAGGGGTAAGAATTGGAAGATGGAATTGTTAAAGCAGTGGCACAACCAATTTTTTTTTCTTTCCCACCCCAGGGCCAGGAGCAGGTGAGTTTCCACCGCAGGCAACATTCCCAGCCTGGTGCTGCTGAGCTTTTCCCCTGCAGCTCTGGAGCAGCTCTGCCTTTCCTGCAGGGAATCAGCCTGTCCCGACGCTCCTGCGCTTCCGATAGTGCTGCTTTGTTGGTGCACTGAGGGCGATTGTTCGGCCCGGGCTGCGCGCAGCGGCTCGGGGAGGGAACCTCTCCCTCAGCCTAGTGCTTAATAAACCCAGCATCAGCTCCGAAATAGAAACGGTTAGAAAACTTGTGGTTTTCTCCTAGAAACCACAGTTTTGGGGTGTTGGGTTTTTTGGGTTTTTTTGAACAGAAACTTCTGCTTTAGAACAGCAGCTTCGTTCACTGCTCTGTGCGTGTTGGTCGTGCCACGAGGTTTCTTGCTCCTGATAACAGTCGAGTTTTGAGCTGTGCAGGAAAATGAGAGTCATTTCTCAAGAGGCTAAAAGCAACCCCAGCTTTGGTGTGAGTCCACCACTGGGTGTGGAGTGAATGATCCTCACTGCACCCACAGGAAGGGCAGTTTATCTGGAGCTGCTTCAAATAGAAAGCTGAACTACTAGGAAAAATGAAGATTCCAGGATGTTGCCTGTGTAATAAATGTTCCTTGAAATCCCTCTTGTGCTCGCCTGAAGAAGGTGAGTCAGACTGATGTACTCACCTGCACTGCATGTTCCTTGCAGCACTTCAACCCTGGCAGAGCTCTGGGATGGGATGGACAGGGATCCTGGCAAAGCCATGGGATAGGATAGGCACAGAGCCTGATGGAGCTGCAGGATGGGCTCAGAGCCTGACAGGGCTTTGGGACAGGACAGGCACAGAGCATGGCAGAGCTGCAGGATGGGATGGGCACGGAGCATGGCAGAGCTGCAGGATGGGATGGGCACGGAGCATGGCAGAGCCATGGGATGGACACAGACCCTGGCAGAGCCATGGGATGGACATGGAGCCCAACAGAGCTGCAGGATGGACACAGAGCCCGGCAGAGCTGCAGTATGGGCAGGGAGCCCAGCAGAGCCATGGGATGGGCATGGAGCCTGGCAGAACTGCGGGGCAGGACGGGCACAGAGCCCAGCAGAGCCGCAGGATGGGCTGTGGCCTCTCCTGGCCCTCCCTCACCCGGCCCTGGGCACTGGGGGGTCCTGGCTCACCTGCTGCTCGTCCCTCCCGACCCCCCAGCCTGACTGGATGTGCCTGTTGCAGGGCCATTAACATAATTTTATGCACTAATTTGTGTAATCATTAAAGAGCCGAGCAGGGCATTGTTCGCATGAGTAATTACCTCTGTATTCTAATAGCTCTAATTCATCCCTTAAGTGAGTTTCGGATTTCGGTGACTCAGCCGCAATTCCTGCTCCGGGTCTCGGATTTTTGTCAGGGCTCCCCGTTCGTTGCCCTCTGAGCAGCTGATGAGGAGAGGGCTCCTGAGGAGCCGCGGGCAGG